AAATACTCCTCTCATCCTTACTGACAAGAAGTCAAGTACTTTCTTTAACTCACAAAGTAAAACTATCATTCATTATTTAAGTTCTTAAAATATTTTATTATTGAAACATAAAATATTGATCTCAGAATAGTTAACACGCTATGGAATTTCAATGTTTCAGCATAAATCTACAGAACATTTAAATCAGTATATTGCTCACCTTCAATAATACTGGTGCAAAAACTTGTCGAACAGCTTGATAAAGGGTGTTTATTGGTGAATCTAGCATTGATGACACAAGAATATTACTATGAAGATTATCTTCTGTAATTACATCAGGGCGCAGCTTAAAGAACACCAACACATTATTCTTTGAATCAGTAGCTTCAATCTGTAAAAACCAAGGAGACAGGATTCGTTTAAAAACCTGTTATTGACTGCATGTTATACTAAATTACATACACCATTTACACAAATTATTTACCTCATTAAAAAAAATATAAAATACCTATTACTCCCTGTAGGCTCTGATAACATTCTGGCAGTGTCTGATTTGATCAGAAAATCAAAACCTGTATTATACTTATTCCTGTGTTGAGAGGAACCTGAAATACAAATTCCAACATCAAATACCTAATGCCTTTTTTACTGTAATTACTTATGCTATTTGGATTTTGAAAACTCCACTTAAGACTTTCTGGGGGCAAACGAGAAACTCCACCTTGTGCCTGGAGAAGACTAAACATGAAGCCTATTTTTTTTTTTTTGCATTTTTATGCTACATAACTGTGTGAATATTTTTCTAAATATTCAGTATTGCCATCCTGAACCTGTATATATATGACTCTGCTGCAATTCATAGATTTCTCAAGGACAGAGGAAGATATGCTCCTTCATCAGTAAAATCTTCGAGTTTTAACACAATTCTTGTTCCCTTCACAGTCCAACTTATGGGTAAAGTTCAAAAAGTTGCCATGAGATCAATTATTGAAACTATTTATGGCTGAGGAGAATTCATAAAACAGGAGAACATTATTAAACATTTGATGAAACAATAGCAAAAAGATACACTAGCTGAAATCCCAAATTCTGCACAATTGTAAACATCTATAAACTTTTTTCTGTTAAAAGAGGGCTAGTGAAAACAGCTTTCAGTTTTACTGGACAGTATCAATTTTACTTTGTCAGGCTCTTAGCCAAACACATATCATTTCGCTGAGACAACAGGTGTACGTTGTAGCCCCTATATGCATCTGATCTTCCACAGCTGCTGACTGCAGCTTTGTATATCAGGCAGTGGCTCAGCAGCACACCCCAAAAACTGGTCCATGTAAATGTTCACTCTTGCATGAACATAGCATGCACTAGACTTCACAGACTACACAGACAATTACACCAGGAGGTATGTAAGTTACTGGTCCACACCGCAGTTCACATGTTAACGACCCATTACACTAGCCATCAGTGCACAGAAAACCCGTCACTGACATAACAGACACCATGTCACTGGTCTCACAGCAGAATGATGAGACACATGTCAATCCCCGGGCTTTGTCTATACACTCTATGTTGCAGGAACCACACCGTGTCCTGATCTTGTGGTGACATTCACTGCACATCACTCCCCACGGTATCACTCAGATAAGTCACTTGTTGAACATAAACACTCAGAGCAGTGCAATGAATATACAAATACAATGAACCTCAGATTTGCTCACAGCTGGGCACATCAATCTGTAAAATGCATGATTTGGACAAACACCCACCTTGGGATTTGCCAAATATCAGCCAATGTGCAACATACTGGGCCACCTTTCCTGCATGGACAATGGCAATGCAATCCTTCCAGTCACCTGCATGGACCCTTGCCCAGGAACAGCCCAGACACGAGACTCCACCTGGCATTTGCAGCAAGGTAACAAACCATTCTCCAGGCTGCATTACATTCACACAGCGACAACGCACAGCACACTAAAACTACATATCAGCACAAGCACAATCCACTAATAAACATATCCCTCAGCTGACCATACAGTCTTCACAGACTGTACTGCATCCAGCTCTGGAGCCCCCAACACAAGAAGGACATGGACCTCTTGGAGTGTGTCCAGAGGAGGGCCACAAAGATGATCCGAGGGCTGGAGCACCTCTCCTGTGAGGAGAGGCTGAGAGAGTTGGGGTTGTTCAGCCTGGAGAAGGCTCCAGGGAGACCTTATTGCGGCCTTCCTGTACCTACAGGGGGCCTACAGGAGAGCTGGGGAGGGACTTTTCACAAGGGCAAGTAGTGATAGGACGAGGGGGAATGGCTTCAAACTGGAAGAGGGTAGATTTAGATTAGATATTAGGAAGAAATCTTTCACTTTGAGGGTGGTGCAACACTGGCAGGCATTGGCAGTGGTAGATATCCCATCCCTGGAAACATTCAAGATGAGGTTGGACAGGGCTCTGAGCAATCTCATCTAGTGGAAGATGTCCCTGCTCACTGCAGGGGGGTTGGACTAGATGGCCTTTACAGGTCCCTTCCAACCTAAACTATTCTATGACTCTTGGGCCAGTAATTTATGCAGCACGTACAGAGATCAGCATACAAATTTGCAGTAGAACGATGTCTCCCAAATCTTATGACCACTAACCCTGGGCCGGATCCCAGGCTCTGCACCCCCACTCGCACACTGGGCCGCGGTGGACACGCTGGATCCACAGGTGCCTGCGCACCCTCCGCTGACACCCCCCGTACCTTGTTGGACGCCGTGAGCTGTGCGCCCGAGTGCTGCACAACGAGGAGGAACTCATTGCCGTCGTCGAGGAAGCTGGTGAGCTCCGGGCGGGCATGGAGCCCCGCGGCCAGGGCGGCGGGGCCCGCAGCCGGGTCCACTCCG